TAGATAGATAGATAGATAGATAGATAGATAGATAGATAGATAGATAGATAGATAGATAGATAGATAGATAGATGATAGACAGATAGATATTTACTTATTTAAATTTAGGAAGCACTCAACTCCAAATTGGGATACTCTGCACCTTAACATTAATGTCCTATTCACAGAGAAAAATATCTTGGGGTGATCTAGTGACAGAATTGCATGTGGTAGAATTTGTGCTCCTTTATATGGTAGTTTAAATGATAGAGTCATTCTGAATGTACATAAACAAAAATGATGAACTAAAATGCAGGATTATTATATTTATGGTGCTGCATATTATTTTCTCCAATTTTAAAGGATCAAGTGCACAAATGAAGCGCGCTTGATCCTTTAAAATTGAAAGATTGAGATATCTTTTGTCACATTCTAAACTGAAATTCTATAGAAGTGTGAGTACAGTGCAAGATTATTTATCATACATTCTAATGGCTGGTTTTCTACTACTTATCATTGGTACTACACAGAGTGAGGAAGAAAGTATCACACTGAGAAATGAGCCTATTACACAGGGATGGGTACCTCCACAGGGTATGATTTATATTTATTTACTTATTGTTACCCTTCCCCAAGATCTGTAAGAAGTGTGGTCATGAAATGGGTTGGGCTAAAATTTTCATCCTTTTTGTATTAAGGGAGTGGGGCTTCTTTGAATGCAAAATAGAATGCAAAATCATACTGTTTTACTCCTTCTCCAGTGCAAAAGTGAAGAACTGCACTTATGAAAATTTGTGGCAGCTCTGGAGGCTGCAAAATGCTGCATGAGAGCCATAGGTTCTACATCATTATAAGTTGTTATAAAAGCAATTTGTATGTTATGAGAAGATGAGTCATGAACAATGATTAAATAGATGATATTGATCTACAAGTAGCAGACTACAATAGATTGGGTGATGATGATTTGCAAGATTATTTGCAAGTCTCCATTTCAGAATATCTTCATAAGCCTTATAAACTCAGTATCCCCAAA